ACTGGAATTCTAAAAAGGCCAAGAATCAAACTCCTAAGGATAAGAAGGGAATGTCGGCAAGATGCCAAATTCAAGAGATGGCTCATTTAAACAAAGATCGGTTAGGTTGAAGTGATCTCCGCGATTGGGTTCAAGTTCTAAAACGAGTGTCGAGGCATTCATCCGATCAAACAAGAAATGGGTTAAACCAAACTATAAATGGGTACCAAAAGTTCACAGTCCTAAATAATATAATAATTCTAACATTTCTTCATCTTTTGTGTCTGATAAACAGGATATGTCATGGGATATAGTATCTTGTGTAGATAGTAATGGTAGACCCAACTTCAAAATGGACTGGGTTCCAAAGACCAACTAATCCCGCACTATGTGTTGGAGTAACTATGGAGGAATATCATCATACTTTGTTAGGTTGATAGTGGCTATTCCAGACACACGATAGGAGACATCTCTCAACTGCACGACATTCAGAACTTTAAGTGAGGGTATGTGTTGTTTGCAGGAAGGAAGAAAGAAAGGATCACAAATGGGGATCGTGTTTAACGACGTTTTGAATCTTGAATTTATTAACTTCGTTCCAGAATTGAAACACAACTGAGGATGAATATGCTGTTGCACGTGCCTGTTGTTCTCAGGTCATCTGGATGCTACTTCAATTGCTGAATTATGGTTTGAATTTTTTTGATACTCCGAAGTTTTTTTTTTAAAAATAATTCATTTTAAAGACTAACATTTTATTTTTGTTTGATTAAAGTTTTGCATTCTATTTTATTTCCTTTCTTCCCCATGCAAAAATATAGGGGGAGAAATCAAAATTAGAAAATTAGAAAATCAAAAATATGTCGACTTCGGTAAGTGTTCAGGGAAGTGATATGAAGTTTAATGTTAAAGGGCAATCTAAAATACGTGGAATGCACTGAAGCTAAATTATTTAGACTATGTGTTCAATGTGCTGGTAGGCACGAAGGATACAAAATGAAAGGACTAGAAACTTTTGACAATGAAAAGACTTGATAGTGTTAATTCATCGGGACTTAGATAGTTACATTTGGACTGACCATACGATGCTTGGATAGATTGAGCAGTGAGAAAAAAAAGGAGCCTGCAAGATACATTAAAGTTACTTTTCATCTAGAACTGTGGATCAACACTTGTTCGATGTACGGACTTATGTCCTTAATTCTGGTGCTGATAGAGTGACTGGGGGTTCTGATAAAGTAGGTTTGTGTGAAATTGTTTTTCTTTCTTATCCTCTATGTCAGTCATATGTTGCCCCCTTTGCATGATTGGAAGATCCGACCTGGGACGTAACATATGCATCTCTATCTATGCATCTCTATATCTATCTATGTCAGTCATATGTTGTCCCTTTTGTGTGATTGGAAAAGATCCGAACTAGGACACAACATATACACTCTTCTATCTCTTTAACCCTATATCTATGTTAGTCATATGTTTTCCCTCTACGTGATTGAAAGAGATCCGACCTGGGATACAACATATATATCTCTATATCTGTCTTCTCTCAAATAATTGAAAACTCACCTAAAGTAAAAGAGCTCTTTAGAATCCCTTGATTGCTAGGGTATGTTGTAAAGCGGGGAACACATTCTAGTGCTCTTAAAATTGAATTGGTTCATGATTAAAGGTTGATTGTAGATCTCACTGCTGAATTTAAGTGGACAACAATACCATTGTCGTAGTCAGCTAATTGGTCCATTTAGGAATATAGTTGCAATGTCTTGTCACTTATAATTTGTCAAACTTTCAAATATCCTTTGTCTTTAAGTGAACTACAATATTGGTGATTGTCCAGAGCTACTCATGCAGGTGTGTGGTGATAAAAGATATTAAATTGCTTGACAACTTTTGATCCCAAAAGTTTCTGTTTTGTACATTTTGTATTTTATTTTTGTTTTTGTTAAATTTGCTCATATTTTTTTCTCTATACACAAATTTAGGGGGAGCATTAAAAAAATAAAACAAAAAATCAAAAACCCAAAAATAAAAAACATATGCTTATTTCTGTTTTTATTTCTTTTTAGAAAAATTAAAAAAATCCAAAAATATTGCTTTGGGCGTATTTTAATTTTATTTTTATTCTTAGTTATTTTTATTGTGTGCTAAGTTTTTTTTACTTTTATTTTTTATCTTAAAATTTCATTTGTCTTAAAAAGAGAATTTAAAAGAATAAGAGACTCATGTAGATTTTGTTAGAATTTTCTCTGAAAGAAAAGATCTGGAAAGGAACTGCCGGAGTTATACTTCACACTACTTTCACAAGGAATTAAGATTGTCAAAATTGGTCTTGTCAGTTATCTTTGCCTAAGAACTGTTATGGCACCAGGGTGATTCACCCAACCGAGAAATAGATATCACTGAACATCCCACCTAGGGTCTTGACATCCTTTATGTCATGCAAAACAACGGAGACTCAAATGTATTCTCGAAAATGTTCTTTGCAGGTAAGGAATTAACAATTATTAGCACCAGGGTGAGAAAGGTCTTTATGATTCTGTGATTCGCAGGGAATTTTTTTCATGGTTAAATTTTTTTCAAGACGCATCTGTGATCAACAAAGAATACTCATTCAAAGGAACAAAAAGTGAAGATTATTTTTCAACACCCAATCTTTTAACCCTAAAAGCAAGGTGAAGTTGTATTAGAAGTTATGTGGCGAATTGCATTGAAGCATCCTCAATCAATTTGTTGCTATTTATGAACCTACTGAAGTGATCCAGAAGAATGGATCTCTTTGTCATTATATCTGAAGTATTTAGCTGAAAGTGCTGATTTTAAAGAAACTTTACAAGAAGCCTTTACACCCAATGTACGTTTCAAGTCAAATTCTTAAAAGGAAGTTTGACTGTTCAAGATGAAGTCATTCATGCATAAATTCATATGTTCATCTTGAAGTTGTGAAGAAACTGAATATTAAAGCTAAAAGTCAAGATCAAAGAGAAGATTGAAGAGAAAAGAAAGCTATAAACCAAGGGGGAGATTGTTAGGTCATAATTTGTGGTTTATACTTTGCTTTTCATAGATATTAGAGTTCTCGGTCTAGGACCAAAAACAACATGTTTTCGGTCGTGTTTGGACCAAAATCACATGTGGTTTCGGTTAAGCTTTTGGGTTTTGGATTGAGCCTTTGTTATTTAGGTCTAGGTATATATATAGTCTATTATTAGGAGTCTAAACACTACTAGAAAAACATCCTTTTACGGCGCTCATTGCGCGTCGTTAAAGGCTCAGACGACGTGCAAATGCGCATCAAGGAAGGCCCTATCATAAAGAGAGATGACATGCTTTTGTGCGTCGTCTATAGATGACGCGCATTTACGACGCACAATTACAACGCGCGTTTACGACACGTAATGCGTATCAAGGAAGCCCCTGTCATAAAGGAAGACGAGACACTTTCGCGTGTCATAACCTTACGACGCGCGTGTTAAGGACACGCAATGCGTATCAAGGAAGCCCCTGTCAAGAAAGGCCATGTCATAAATGAAGATGACACACATTTTTGCGTATCATAATTTTAAATGTTTAAAAAAAATATTATTTATAGATTTACTAATTTTCAAATTAAATAATACATTAAAAATCTCATAATACAAAATAAAATACCATAAATAACAAAGATAATTCATTTCACCAATATGTCAAATACAAATAATTATTCCAAAAGTGAGTAAATGTTATAAAAAAAATGAACTCATTTATATACAATTGCATCATCTAGCTTACTAAGTGCTAACAACTCTCTGTGTTTTTACTTTTGCTTGAGTCTCGTTTCCTCCAAAGCTTCTAGCCATGCGAAAATATGATATCTTGAGTCTCGTTTCAAGAACCAAAATCACCTTCAATCACCCAATTAAACTCTAATGTTGGTAGACTGAGAGTTCCAGAATCAAGTTTACATTAACTTGTGCATTTGTGTAAACATCTTTAGCACAATAACCAAAAAGAAGGGTGTTTCTTGATTGTTCAGCATTACTATGTGTAGGGCACACAGTGCATAGTATTGCAGTTCTTGCATTGCCTCCAAGAGAGTTTTGTAGTATGCGTGTTAGCTTCGAGTTAATTGTTAAGGCACATGCCCAATTCCTCCTTTACTGCATCCAAATCATAAAACTTGTCAGACAGACATACAAATTGATTTCTCAAGCTCGAAGCTACTATGCTACACCCTTTGGGGGTAATTGTGTCATTTCTACAAAAAGATTACTTTTCAAACAAACCCTAGATGGCCCATACAGACCACTACATAAGACCAGTGGGACCGACTTTGTTATGGCTTAGGGGTACTTTTGTCATTTTAGGAATTCCAACAAGAAATTGTATTCTTATTCATGTTTTTAGAAGTATTCTTATTCATGTTTTTAAAAGTATTCTTATGCCTTTTAATATCGTGTGAATGATTAAGATTAATCTAAATTGTATTCTTATTCATGTTTTTAAAAGTTAGTTGAAGAAAAAAAATATGTACCAGTCGTAAAATTTGATGAGATCTTGAACTCATTTCATTTAATGCAATCTCCCCAATTTGTCTCTCAACTATATTTTACATATTCCGTTATATTATCAAACATATTTTTGTGTAATGAGTAAAGAACATGGATGATATTTAGTATTTACCTTCTGACACATAGATGAGTTCCTTTAAATGGTTGCAGTCTCTCAAATTAGCTTCTGTTAGTTTTTCTACAATTGTCCCTTTCTAAAAGAACAAGCCATAAAGAACTTGAGAACATTTTGGTCAAATGAATTAAGCTGAGAAATGACAATTCTAACCTCTAGGGCATAAACGGCTTTCCTCATGAGTAAAGCAACACGCTGGAATAAAAACATATATATATATATATATATATATATATATATATATATATATATATTAAAAGAGAATATTAGTTTTATATTAAAAAAAACATATTTCACGTTCTTAATTTTACATAAAGAAGAAACTTTTCTGTAACAGCATGCATACATGAGGTATTTCACTACTCATCCTGCTGATGCTTTCGTCTAGAGTCCCATTTACTATTCTTAGAAGCGACTGTGTATGGGGCAATCTGGACAATAAAAGATTCTGAAATTATACAAGTGTAAAATGTGAATATTGATGAATTCACAAGGGAAAAAAAGCATTAAGGAAATCACATCCAAACTGTTAGATTTCATCAACTCTGAGATTTTTGCTGCAGGAAGATCAGAATAGTCACCATATTTCATCTGAAACACTTCATGAAATCTATGTCCAACATGATGCATCATGGCACTCGTAGGCTCTGCAGAAAAGGAAAAGGAAAAGGAAAAGGGTATCATTAGTCTCAATGGACAGTAACTCACTCACTATGTATGGACAAGGCAGTAACTTTGTGTATCATGAGCTCCATCATAAAACTCCACACATCAAGGCTATATATAATATTATAATTCAATTTCCCTATAACAATAAGCAATTAAAGATTATAATCATTATATTACCTGGGTACTTTCATAGGAGTAAAATTAGATTCCCATAAATGGCTCATAACAGCTCTTTTCCATGTCGCCCTGGATTTTGTAAGCCATTCTAATTTATGGTCAACTTCTGAGGTAAATCCAGCAGGTCCCACCAAAACAAGATGTTGTACATGCTCAGGATGCTTCATTTTGGTAAAAGTGTGAAATCATTAGATTAATGTAATTTAGATTTGAGACATGAAAGTTGTTTTTGTAATATTTATCATCAGGAGAATTACCTTCAAGGCATATTTAGATACAACATATCCTCCAAAAGAATGCCCAAGAAAAATAAACTTATCAAGGTGTTTGGCTTTTCTCCATTCCTCACGGGAATCAATGAACCAATCCTCAGTTTCTGCATTATCATTCAGAGATACAAGTATACAAGCATTAGATACTAAGGTTTTAGGGTTTATGGTTTAGGCTTTAGTTATGACCATGATAAGAACATATTGAAGGAGAGTTACCTTCAGGGTTTTAGGGTTTAGGGTTTCTACATTATCATTCAGAGATACAAGGCGATGTGCTTTTCTTGCTGCTTGTTGGTCACTTTTTACCCTTGCTCGACTGAATAACATGAGGAAAGTTGTAACAGCAAAAAAGATATATTAAAAAAGTAAAAGCTTCAACTGAAATAAATACATACCTATTCTTTCTCTGAAAGCAACTCACTGTTTGTGACATGAGGATTCAACATAAAAATATTTAACTATTATCAATCTGTAGTTTGAGACAAGTACAAGGAGATGAGTTTTATGACGCCCCAAAAGAATTCCAAGGCTACCCTTGTACAAAAGATGATGAAAAAACCTTACAAAGGGAAAATCTTGATAAAAAGGTAGAAACTTTAGAAAATGAAACAAGTGAAGAAATTCACACCCCTCCACCTTATAAGAGAAGAAAACTAACAAATTCAGCAGGAATTGATGTTGAGGTGAATATTTACAGAGACATAAGTAACAGAAGAACCGTAAATACCAAAATGCCCTCGTTAATTGATTGTGATGAAACAGCTGAGACCAGTGAGTCAAGAGACGTGTTGCTTTATTCAAGTTTAACAACCATGATCTCCCTTTTGAATTAAAGGAAATAATCATATCAGATTTAAGATTATTGACTCTTCTAGAAGCTGGACTTCCATCTTTGGTAATTTTCTCCTAATCTTACCCTGTTTTTTGCCAAATTTATCGACCATGGATGTGCTCTTTAGCAAGAGCACTATATGTCATCATCTCCATTGTTACAGTTGTCATTGGTTTCTATGATCTTTACAAAAATGTCCCTGTGCTTAAAGCAACTGCTTCACGATTATGTGAGCCACTTTTTGATTGGATTGAAACGTGGGAAATGGTGTCCAGGATTAAGTATTTAGGGACGATGCTTTTTTTGCATAATTCCGAAAAAGCCCTTGTGTGGTTGTACCTAAATAAAAGATGAGAAACACAACATATTGAACTCACCCAAGTTGATCCATTGCTGTCACCCTGAAATGTTTTGTGAGAGCATCAAAATTTCTGAAGAAGAAGCCCTAAGCATCTGCATATCCATGAACCATAATAAGACTTGGTGAATCCTCCTTGCTGTTGAAGGTGAAAGTGTTGATAAATCTTGGTTCATTGCTGGAAGAACGAAACCTGAGATGCATAGAGTGTGTGAGACTGTTAACAAATTATCAGAATGGGATCGAGAAGCAGAAAAGTATTGGGGGAGGATCTCACACCCAAGAAATCAAACAAGAATGAGAATAAGGGAGAAGGAATGAATACCTGAGATGTATAGAGAGTAGAAGTGGGGATCGTGGAATGAAGAGGAGATCACGGTCTCCTCCACAGGGATGTGAACGAACCCTAACAAATCAACTTCGAAAATATAGGCATCTTTCACTTCAATCGATTGAAGATAATGAAATCTACTGGAGACATTGAAGCGAACGATTGAAGATAGTTGAAGAGATAAGAGTATAACAATATCAAGAAATATTACCTAAAACTTTGAATCAACAATGTTATGAAGTTGAACCGGAGGGTGAAGAAGGTGCGGCTTCATCCAAGTTCTCATCGTCTGAATCAATTAGGGATTTAAATCTGGGTTTTTTTTCTATTGGTCATTTTAGGGATGATGTGCAGGGTTTTTCCAGGATGATGATTTAGGTAGGGTTCAAAATCGAATTGAAATATCGGGGCTTTATATGAATGAATGAAATATGAAATAACGATTTAATTTTCATGTTGAATATTTTGTGAATGAATAAGAAGATGATTATGGTGAAAGAGAAGGGTGGAGAGAAAGGTAGGAGAAAAGTAGCAAGTGTGGATCGATTTCATGAGGGTTGACCCACTCATCATTGTTATCCTCCATCCCTAAAGTCACCGGCGTGGTGTCTTTTTTCTTTGGAGCCACCGTTGCTGCCATATTCTTTCCCTCAAGCCACCATCGTTGCGAAGATCAGTGAGATGAGACAACATTTGTTACAGCCATGGGATATCTCTATGAAATCGTAGGTTGGGTTTTAGGTTAGAGAGAGAGAGGGGGGGAAAAGACGAAGACCCTAGGCTTCTTTCTTGCTAATTGGAAGAGGAGGCGGGGTTTTAATATTTGAGATTTCATTTCCCGCTTGAAACACATGTTTCATTAAAAAATATAAAGTGACACACTTACATGATGCACATCTTATGAAAGGTATCCTCCGTATTTCTGTTTTTTTCTTTTTTGACACTAATTTTAGGGCGCGCACAAAAAGCGTGTCCTCTATCCTTCAAATTTTAGAAGAGATGACATTATTTTTGGGGCACACACTTTTGCGTATCGTAAATCATCACGTGTCATTGTTTGCGTGTCATTAAAGGGTTTTTTCTAGTAGTGAAAGGTGTGGATGTTTGATTCCTATCAGCCAAGAACATGTTCTACAAAGAAACAGAGAGAAAACCAAGTGTAATCTAAATCTTATGTACTAGACTATCATTGAATATAGTATGCATTCAAGATTCATCTTGTGTTCTTGTTCCATATCATGTTTTGCATCATTTACTTGATTGGGATTCCGCACTATCATAGTGAAATTGATTGATACATCACGAGTTTGGGTTTAACAAACCTTCTCAGTTACATCCTTGATTTCATACTTTATCCATTCAACTAGGTCTACCCATGCAGACCACCCATGCAACAACACGCGCCCTTGCACACCACTCGCGCAACAGCATGCGCTCGTACAAGCTGCAGTTCCTTATTGCCTTTTTTGCTTTGTTTTCTTCTGTTTCTTCACATTTTCTTGGATTAGAAGGCTTCTGATGTGTGTGAAACGAACTAGTTTTAATCCTACTAACTTAGACACAAAATAAACACACGAAAGGCAGTGTACCTATTGATTAGTAATATAGTTCAAGCAAGTAGGGTATTGAACACAGGGAACGGTAAACAATTAAAATAAATGCTAATATTATCTAAATAAAACAAGTGATAGAAAGGGGGTTTCTCTAGTTTTGCAAGACTAGAAACTTACCAACTAATACTTAGACTACTTAACTAAAAACTAGATAAGCCAAGATTCAACTAAATTCAATAACGAAGGGAACTTCTGTTTAGTTCAACTTAATTGATCCTATGGTTGATATTATGGTAATAGTGCAATGGATTAATTCTTCTATTGGCTACCGATTCAAGTGATTAGATTCACATTCGCTGCACTAATCCTTAGAGAACAAACTAACTCAAACAGTGGTTAGTTGTCTAATTTAATTCAATTCACTAGGCTATTTATTCGGGTTAATTTAGACTTGTAATGGTTAACTAATTTGGTCCTTTAGTTAACCTCTTATTGATGGTCATCACACAAGCTCACACATGAATTTACCTATTTTTCTTATTAAATCTAGTTTCACATTCGCTAATCCTAGTCATATAATAAAGTGTTCACATAAATCATATGAGGAAAAACAATTAAGAGATGTTCATGCAGCTTAATTATCTTCCTATTAACAGAAAAATAGTTATCATTCACACATAAGGTTCTTTAACAACCTAAAATCAACAAAATCACCAATATTAACTCAATCCTACCATAAAATCAAACCATAATCACAAAATCATCTATCCTAAACAGACGTTATGAGTTTTTAGCTCATATCTACAGCAAATAACAAACTAAAAACATAATCTAATGATTAAAACATGGTTTATGCAAAAGATTAAGATAAAAGTAGTGCGTTATTGCCTTTGATCTTCTTCCAAATGGATATCTAAGTTGAAATCTCGAAAACCACAGCTTCTAAGAACCCTTCTGGCCTCCAAAAATCGTCCTAAACTTCCACCATTCGTTAGGGTTCGAATGAGAAGCATTTCTATATATATATATATACATATATATATATATATATATATATATATATATATATATACATATATATATATATATATATTCTGAAAACAGGGGCTACTCGGCGAGTCCAGTGACCAACTCGGCGAGTCCATCACTTAAAACCCGTGCACGGCAAGGTACAGTCAAGAATCGCGAAACTTCTGGCCAACTCGTCGAGTTGATGGCCTACTCGTCGAGTCCATTTGGAATCATCATTTTCTCAAAACATCAAAAGTTGTCCGAAATTGTGTCTAGTTTTAAGAACATTTTGAATCTCATCAATCAGAGTTACGGTTCATGAGATATGGCCAAAACACTGACGAGGGGTCAAGCTGTCCAGCAACATCCTTCTTTCTTCAAAATCCAAGATCCAAGCTTCCAATCGCTAGTTCTGCTTCCTTTTCCATCAAAGCATGTCATTGTTTCTAAAAAATGAAATTATAAACTGATTAAGTACCTTTTGTTCATTAAATGAGACAAAAACAACATAAAGTATTAAGATAATGCATGAATTTTATAACTAAATATGCCCATATCAGCTTCGAACATATGGAAACACTTAATTCCTTCTAGGATAAGTCCTTAAGGATCCCAAAAACATCTTCAAACTTCTTTATTCGAATTTAAAAACATGAAAGCACAATGTTTTCCAAAAATTCCCTTCTTTAACATGTTTGGTGAGACGCCTCCAAGCTTCACTTTAACACTTCGGGGTGTCCAAATGGACAACATCTTGTAAATTTGAATCAAAACCTTCATAGAAAGGCATCAATCGATGTCCATTAACATTGCAAAATTTCCCCGTGTCAACATTTTTTAATTTCCACACTTCCATTGGGACTCTTTTCTTATATTTGACTTTCTTTTTGGGAGAACCATACCAGACTTAGACCTTTGATAATAGCAATCATCCAAACACATTGTTTCTTGTAGTTGTTCATTATGGTGACCAACTCTTCCTTCTTTGATATGGTGGTTGAGTAGGTGACCGGATGGGCGTGTTCTTTCTCAGGATATGTATCATCTGATGGGTCCAAAAAATTTACCTTTTCCGGCTCTTGTGGTTGTTTTACCACTGGAGTTAGTCTTTCAATGGTAGTGGGTGGCTTAACCTCTCTTTCATTAACCCCCAACACTTCCTTTATAGTTTCATTGACAACATTCTTAATTTCTTCTTCCTCTTTGACGACCTCTTCCACTTCTATTTTTTCTTCCTATTCTTCATATAACACTCTTAGGTCATTAAAGCTTTTCTCATCTTTCAAAGGAATGGAACATGCGCTATGCCATGGGATCTCTTCATATAGTAATTTCTCTTGAGCTTCCATTATACTCACTGATTGAGCAATTTGTGTTATTTGTTGCTTTAAGATTTTGACGCTAGCATGGGTTGTTTCCTGGAAAATTTGGGTAGAAGTGGAAATGCTTTTCATAATGTCCTCTAAGGACATGCTTGGAGTTTCAGTTTGTCGAGGAGGGTAAGGATAGGTTTCTTGGAATTGTGGAGTTGGTTGGTATTGGTTATTTCCCCAAGTTAGGTATGTGTTTTGCTATTGGTTATTTCCCCAAACTCGATTGGTGTCCCACCATTGATCATGTTGAGGCTGATCATAACTCCATTTGTTAACCAATAGTATCTTCCCTTCTCTTGCATTTCTTCCCATTCTACTCGTAAATATGGACACATGTCAGAACGATGTCCATTTCGGGCGCAAAAATCGCAAAGAAGAGGCATAGGCGGCACACTTACGTCACTTTCAATCATCATAACTAACTGAGCTAGCTCATAAAGTTGAACTTCAATGCAAAGAGTGTTCATTTTCAAGCCATATTTTTTTTGTTTTTTTCAAATTCGAGATTGTGGATTAGAGTATTTACACGATGAGATCTAGGCATAGAGAAACAAATTGATTAAAAATAAACCAGTCTCCGACAACGGTGCCAAAATTTTGGTGGTTATCTAGGCCATCTAAATTAATAACCCTATATATTTTACATTAAAATAGTGTATAGTGGCAAAGGGGTCGAATCTATGGATATTGGTTCAATTTAATAAATTTATGAAAAATCTCATTGCAAAAGTACTTGTAAAATGACAATAAAAATAAAAACGGGGATTTGGGTCTTTTTAAATACTATAAATAAAACTAAGATTAAGCTAAGATTTAAAAAGACAATTCAACAAAAATAAGAGCTTGATGTAAAATGAATAAGAAAAACATGGTCAACTTAAAGTTTCCTCATTTTGACTTTTGATGAACATATCATTAGAATTCAATGGTATAATACTTTTTTTAATATTAAATTTGGCTATAGTAATCCAAGAATCTTGAGATTACCTAGACTTTTCTTAATTGTTAAAATAGTTAGAAAAGCTCATAACAATTTCCTTAGTCAAAGTCACAATTTCCATTAAGTATGTAATTAGTGAAAGTCAACTAGCATTAAGAACCAAAAAGTCACAAAATCAAAGAGGAGTCAAATGTTTTCACTACCATGGTGGAGAAAATGTTTTTATGATTATGTGAAGTAAATCCAACACAAAAATCATTTGTTGCGTGCTAATTTGAGGATCCTTTACTTAATCAAGAAATTAGCAAACTAATCAACATAAGCACATTTAAACTCATGAATAAAAACATACAAGTAGTAATAAGATGTTAAAACACAAAACATCCTCATAAAGATTCAAGAACAAGTTCATTGAGTCTTGAACATTCAACAAACATCAAAAGAATTACATGAAACTATCAAATCACCCAAAACTTAAACCTTATTTGTCCTCAAGTAAGACAAGACTAAAATGAACTTGGGATGAACTATCCTAATAAAAATAAAAAGAAAGGGTAGAACAATAGAACTTGATCGCAGTTAGTCAACATGGTCAGAACTTATCTTGCTATTGTCTCACGAACTTTTCATCCGATGACAATGGAACCATAAACCACAGCCAAGACAACTCCTCTAGGTGAGTAAGGAGGGATGGTCAGTCACAACCCCAATGGAACATGCATACAATGAAAACATATGTAGTAAGGAGAAACTAGATGGATGG